ACACGAGGCTATGGCAGTGGATTGCTCTAGTACAGAGGAAAACACAGGTGTTTAGGCCCACTAAACCTCATCAGACGTAGAACTCACGGTGGCTCAATCAAGACGGATCAAATAAACAACGGGTGCTTTAGCATTTAAATTGGCCAGATGACCTAGCAGAACTTTCAAATCACGATCAGTGCTCTACGAATAGTTTGTTATGCAAACCGGGTAACATACTTGGAAAACAAAATTTAATCTGCAATTGCTGATGTGCCATCTTTCACCGCAGTTATACTCATCTTGAGCCTGGCATTTTCCCAAATGCTTGTATAATTTGGTTTGCTTAGGGAGAATAGATGAACTAAAAAATAAAATACATTTTATTGGTATGTGACGCTTCCTAATTTGATGGAAGATGCATCTGTTTGCGCCTTACCATATGTTCTATGCCTCAGGGTACTGCATACCTGGCGTTTTCAATTTCTTTCTCAAGTTCCTTCCTTTCGCCGGTCAAAATGAATGTTGCGCAGTATGGCAGTCTGGTTTTGTGAAATGTGTTTTGTGAGTGATTCCCCCAGATAGGAGGTCTGTGTAACCTCGCTCCATGCAGTCATAATTCTTCTAACGTAACATGTTAAATCGATGTACATTTCCGTTGCTGGTAGGTCAAGGAAACCCCCGGGTGTTGGTCCGTTATCTCGGTTCAATTGTAAATTTTTCATCGCAATTCTCGGTGGCACCGTCAGTGCGACGACAAGTAAATTTCACCTACCTCAATCGGTCTTACATAGCTTCTAAGCAGTGCCAAATAAATCCAAACTGAATGGTCTCCAGTTGATTTTTGCATTATCTGGTCAGCCAGGTTGAAATATTAGCGGCTTATTGACCTCACTTTCTCGATTGGTTCTTTGGGTGAGTTTAATCAAATAGTTCTGTTCCCCTGGGGTTGCTGGGGTGTTTCGTTCCTTGTTGTCTGGTTTTATTAAGGGCGAATTTCAGAAAGTAATCTTGGGATACCCAAACCTACTGAGACCCGCAAATCTAACCGAAATCCCAGCAGAAAGCCATTATTTGAGCCGAAAAGGTCAGCTGCCAGTTAGATGCTTACGCGGTCATTCAGTTCAGCAACGGTTGACAGTACTGAGCATTCAGTCGGCCCATAGAAGCTCGGTTGACGATGCTGTGTTGGTCAACACCAATCGGATAGCCAGGATCGAGATCAAAAATACAATTTACGTACCGCGAGGCCTCTCTTAACCTTTGTACTATTCAGTTCAAAATGATGTTGTCATGCTATTTATTGACGCGTTTTCTTCCAACACTAAACAACTAGAGCACGAACTGCAGTCAACTACAAGAAATTGGTGACTTCCAAACCTATGCGATGGCGAATGATCAAAGTTTTTCACAGAAACTCAGAATTCAATGTTTGAATTCCACATCAGATAGAAACACCGTCTACTCGACTGCCAAAGCCATTGCGGGGGTCTAATATGAACCTGATTAAGTTTTAATCTCGGTGCAAACGTCATGAAGACATTATCAGAAGTAAACTGGTGTACAGTGGTAATGCCTCGAGAGTGCATATATTGCTCAGAAAACTTGGCACAACTGGACAGACACGTTGTTTTAAATTCGCCTGTCAGGGAACACGCGAGACCCTGGTCTGATGAAAAGTAAACAACCCCCAGCAAAAGTCTGCTGGTTTTTTCCTCGTTTAATATTCGCTAATGATATATAGAGCCGGTAATTAAATGAGCATAAAGTCTACCTCAATTATGCTAGCAGAGTCTTTCTTCAGTTTGTGCAATTCAAGTTATCTACGGAATGCAAGTTCACGTCTAATTTTCAAATGTCGCCTTTAGTCACATTCAGAAAAATGATCTCACAACGAGGCTGTTGAACAAAATAAGAAAGCGGCCGGAAGTAACACTGCAAATTACTACTCATAAGTGCCAGTCTCTGCTGAATCTTATATGCAACAGGGCTAGGTTGAAACCACCACTATCCAACCCAGATTTCAGTGGTTTGATTTCGTTTCAATTGATTAGCTGATTGATCAGCCCATTCTTGTAGCTTTCTTTCTTTGATCCTACTGGTCCGTTGCTTGTCGTTAGGACGTTCGGTTTACCTTGCAGTTCAGCGTCCCGCAAAAATGTAATTGCTTAGTTCGTAGCAGCCGATGTACACGGTCACTATTGACGTGATCATTGATCATTTTTGAGTGCAGCACGATGACACGGCAACCGCTTGCTCCGTTTTTGTTCTGTTGTTTGTTTTACTCTTATCCTCATTGAACGGATGCCTTTCCCCATTTGTGTGCCATGTACTCTGCCGGCAGGCTTGTGCTTCTGGTTGTGTGTTCCAGTTTCAATTTTTTCCAGTCTGGTCGAAATAGTTTGTCATCATCACTACATTAAAATGTATAAATTTTCCTTGTATTCAGGCTCCTTGGTTTTGAATGTTGGAGAGAGCGTTATTCCATGGTTTTGTAAATGTCTCTCAGTCAAGTCAGTTAATCAATCAATGCAAACGATAAATACATCAGAACCGCTCAAACCCATAGGCCACCAGAAACAAGATAATTACACAATCGATGGACTTTGGACTACATGGAAAACTGAACATCCTAACGACAACCAACGGACCAGTAAGGTCAAAGAAAGAAAGCTAGAAAACAGGATGTTAAATCAACCAATCAAGTAGAGCGAAGCCAGACAGCAAGCGAGAAAGAAGCGGCCCAATTACAATCACGGAACAGAAATACTGAAACGAAGCTACCCAACGAACAATCCAGATACAAGTGAATTACATCAAAACGTAACTCGTGTTCCAAGCCAATTTATCAAATAATGCGGGTAAATAACAATCACTTCATAGGTGTTAGAGGTTGTTTAAAAACTGAGTTTGGTGCAGGCAAAATAGGTTAAGTTTGCCAGTTAATTCTCACGATAGCACTTTGAATAGCAATGAAACACTCGCAAGCGAACCGCCAATTTCGACGAACAGAACGACAACTACAACATGTACCCTAGCTACCTGCATTCCACATCGCCAGTGGAATTTTGTTGAAGGAAGGCGAGTCAGAGAATGCAGACGACCTTTTCAAAGGTTTTTCCGAGACAACAGAAATGTTCTCCCAGTAGTTTTGGCATGTAGGAAAGTAAATGCGAAGCTGACGACTTTTGTGGCTCAAGAAGCACTTGGATACATACCCGGGCCGCCAACTGCCCTCAGGCAGTCCTTTCGTCGCTTGTCACAACAGTATGCCCGGAAGGATATCCGCTGCGCTTCGGGTGTCTCAGCACAGTTCCCTCTAAATACGCGCACAGACACCCTATGCAACCTGCTTAAGACCACCTCTCAGATGCTTCGACCGGAAATAAATTCAGCGCCAGCCAGACTTTTGAGATGTCACTGGACGGTTACCGGTCTCACGCACAGGAAGCACGTCCAGTAATTATTTATTAAGATACCTAATACTTATTCACTGTTTAGCCAGGGGTATTTTGCTTCCATTCTGAGGTGGTACACGAAAGCTCCCAAAGGTTATTGCTTGTGTACCTATCCCTCCACCCACCTACATGACTGTACAGCTCACCGCCACCCACTAGATCACGAGGCCCATCTTTTTTCCTACACGCACAAATCACGCAACGCAATCGTGACTCACTTAACTACAAAGTTCACAGTCACTCACTAGATCACGGAACTCGTCTTTTTCCCACACTTACAAATCACGACACACAAGGGTGACCCATCTGACATTGACTGTCTTCGTGTAGTAATAGGTCATTTTCTGACACACACGCAAACGCACGTACGTATAGGAAAACAACACATCAACACGACACAACTCAAAAGAGCTAGCACGTCGCCTAAATCGGAGTCTAGCTGCTCAGGAATTATGGCGCCCCACTTACGGACAGCAGGAAATACATGTGGTTGCTACAACTGTGAAGAAAATACGAAACCTGCAAACGGGATTTATCAACTTGTATTTACAATACAATAAGTCCCTTGTTCATACATATACCTACTGTGATCATTTTATCTAACAAGGCTGTCGTTGTTAGTGCTCCCCGTTTTCTATCCATTGGAGTGGTCTGGCTACCCAATAAGTTGGTTTGCCAGGGGTGTGTGGCAAAGAAGTAAAAACAGTAACGCTAGGTTGGGTGTACAAAAATAAAGAGACCGGATGGAACAGACTCACTAAGAATTGTTCTCTTTAAAATAGTTCGTCGTTGGCCCAGGTCAGCGATTAAACAATAATCCAATTATGTTGGTCCAGAGGTCTTCTTCTGAACAGTTCCCACATATAATAGATTCCGAAGATGGTCTGAAATGTTTTGGTACCAGAGTTAGTACATGAGACTCGCGAATGACCGCTACAAGCGCGAGCGAATTCTGAAGACAGAGTCGAAGCACGTGACCACGCTTGTATTCTGTGAAATTGTACAAGTGCGCGTCTTTGTAGTTTTTCGTACTCAAACAAAAAACGGTTATGCAATTGATGAAATACGTAGTGTTATAATGGAAGTAAAATAAAGGTACAAAACGCCACACCATATAAACAATCGTCGGGTAACTGTAGAGCATTAACACTCGCACCTATGTTGAGCAGGAATTTTTCCAGGCTCAGAAAGGGTGTCCCACACCTTTAGCAACACTGCATTAGGGACCCAATTGGAATCAGTTTTATATTAGTCACTGAGCTGCTAGGCCCACTTCTTGTCTCCAAAAATATAAAGGGCGGTGCCATATGTCCTATTGACCTTTCTTTCAGGTGGACCAAAGCCACTGAACGGCAAGAACGCAACCGGCTGGGGCCGTGTATGGAAACGCCTCGATTTCGCGTGCCTCTCCGGAATTCCGGGGATCTGCGGCTGTGTTTAAGCCCAAGCCTCTACATCTGGTCGTTATCGTGATATTGACTCCGTGTGGCTCTTGACCAATCACCGATCAGAATTAGCGCTGGATCCGCTGCCAAGGTCACTGTACCTGCTTCACTATTTAAGGTCCCACGCTTGCTCGACTCCCCGTACAGTTGTCATGCCGAAATGGTAAGCGTCAGTTCAGCTCACTCCTAACGTTAACTGTTGAACAGGCGTCTGGGATAAAATGCAGTGAATCTTGTATTGATGCTTACAATGACTTGAAGTTCCGGAAGGATTGTCGGTATATACTGTTCCATATTTTTGATGACAAAGAAATCCGTGTGTGCCACAAGGCCGAACGAAGTTAGCTTATAACTTCAAAACCATGCATTCAGTATAGGCGCCACTTATGATGATTTTATTCGGGACCTGATTGCTGCAAGAGCCAAGGGAGAGGCGAGATACGCAGTTTTCGATTATGAAGCTCCCGGGAAGTTACCCAGCTTAATTTTCATCACCTGGTAAGGCTTCGATCTTCACTGATGTTATTCTATTCCAGGACACCAAGTGATCTTGACATCCGGGCGAAAATGATTTACGCTGCATCGAAGGACGCCATAAAGGGGAAACTCGTTGGTCTAAAAAATTATCTGGATGCTCATGACCTTGAGGATCTCAGAGAGGAGGAATTATACAAGCGCTGCCATCCTTAAACAGTACGTTTTTATATGTTTTCACTCTGGAAAACTACCCAATACGGCTGTTTCTCCCACCTGCTTGGGCAACAGGTGGCGGTACTTGGTCGCAAAGGGAATCAGCCACCACCAACAACCCGTTATTCTCCCCACAACTCATTCGCACTCACTGAGGCCCTTCGTTAAGTCGTTCCTGTTGAGACTGATCGTCTCGCTGTGCCTTCGAAAAATTGCTTGAGTTTTCCTCTGTTGGAGATTTCGCTAGTTTGTCATCGTGTCTGTGTTATTGTTCATTCTGATGTTTACCCCCCTTACGTGGGACAAAATAAACTCCCTTACATCGAAAACTTTTTGTAAATGGATTTCACATCCTACCAATGTATATTCGGAGTGGATGGCTTGTAAATCTGTCTTTCGTTGGTTGGGCGTATGTTGTAGTTATTAAAGCTTAACATGGATGGTCTGGTGAGAGGACACGAGTAGTTTCGTACTGTACAAGAGAGTTGGTTGTTGATCGGCCTGTCGTTGCTACTTTCTTGCGTTGTATCTGATTTGAATAGTTCGCTGAAAATTGATCCATGGCCCTTCGGTTTGTGTCAGGTACTTGGATATAGTTGCAGTAATCGCTCGTATCAGCTGTCTTTTAAATACCACATGCAAGATTTATGGAGCTGGGTAATCTGGGACCCCCTGTATTACGTTCTAGGTTGGTTCACTGGGTAAGTCAGCAAATCGATTTGTCGTCAGCTGGTATGTTTTTTTTGGGGGGGGGGTGAAAAAACCAACCAGCTATTGGAAGTTGGTTGTTGATCGGCCTGTCGTTGCTACTTTCTTGCGTTGTATCTGATTTGAATAGTTCGCTGAAAATTGATCCATGGCCCTTCGGTTTGTGTCAGGTACTTGGATATAGTTGCAGTAATCGCTCGTATCAGCTGTCTTTTAAATACCACATGCAAGATTTATGGAGCTGGGTAATCTGGGACCCCCTGTATTACGTTCTAGGTTGGTTCACTGGGTAAGTCAGCAAATCGATTTGTCGTCAGCTGGTATGTTTTTTTTTTGGGGGGGGGTGAAAAAACCAACCAGCAGGCTATTGGAAAGCCGCATAGTCAATAAAGTACAATATAGATATGTTTCTTATGTCCAAATAGGCACATTCAGCAGTTTTGGAAACGTTCGCAATCCAGAGTAGTTCTGGAGACTTTACCCAATTGATGAAACTGAAATTCATGTACCAATGGTGATATGTATTTCGATTTAGTTTTTGGCGACAGTTGGCTCATTTGGAGTTGTTGGGCTGTTGGGGAAAACGCCTGGCAAGATTTTGAGTTTATCCTATCTGTTTCGATCGAAGGCTGGTGTTCTATGTTCGATAACTGACTTCGAGGGAATGCTGGCTTCTTTTGAACGAAGGAAATATTCACCGTAGTGCTGTGTGTATTGTTTAGTATCCTTGCTTTGCCGTATCCGATGCGTGGTCATCTTTCCTCGGTCCAGGCAAATGATTCCTCTAGTTTGTATAGCTTTTTTCTCTTCTCTTATTTCCCGATCTGACCGTGATTAGATAAAGGATTGAGCGGCTTAGTCAAACAACGCAGGATGTCAGGGAACATCAATATCATTAAGGCTTTCAATGCAACTTCATATTTTCGTGTCTACTCACAGTGACCAGTACCCGTGGTTGGTACAGATGTTGGGGAATGGAGGTCCTAACAAGGAACTTTAGAATACTTCAGTGTTGACGTCGAATTGTGATGAGAACATGCCACTCACCCTGAACTGAAAGCTCTAACTGCGTAAGATGCATGATGACTAAATTGTCAGCATTGAATCGGGCACAGTCCTCCAAAATACGAAGAAACTTCCCACTTTCAGCCCTCGAAACTGACCTGCTTATAGAGTGTCCATAGAGCTCCTTGGTGGTACCCAGGTTCACCACGTAGGAGCATTATTACGTGGTTCTTTTCCGTGTGGTGCGGAGTAATTCTGTTTGTTTGTAGTTGTTTCTATGTAAGATAGATTGACGACCGATGTGTTTCAGTTTGGGGGACAACCTCCAAATTTGATAGCATGTATAGTGAATCAAATAAAGCTGCTGGGACGAGTGCATGCCTTCTGGATCTCATTCGCTAAATTTATCTTGATGTAGCGCCTTGAATGGGCGTATCTCCTGTAGAAAGGATGGTAGTAGCGCCAGAACTACTTCCCTGTCGGTCTCTTGATGCCGGTAAAGTGACTTGAGGCTGGTCGCTCCGTGTTTTCATCTCTTCACTAGTGCAAGAAGCTCCCCTCCCCAAAGCCTCACTCAGCGACTGAGCAGTTTTTGAGGTCCTACGGCTGCTGCGTTGGTCGGGTTATATTCCTTGCTCTTCGCTTCAGGGCAGAACATCGGTTTTGCTCTTGTCTTTGTCGTCCAAAGCCCATACTACTACCATTCGAGCAAAAAGTTTATTAATCTCTGCATCCTGGGTAAGCAAAGAGTGCTGACGTGGCATTGGAAAACACAGTTCCTCAGAAAATGCCTCCAACCGTTATCATCGACAGCACAACAATAATGTTCAATACTGTTGTTCCGCTGCCGCTAACGCTTGAATATCTTGATTACGTCCCGTCCAAACCGGCAGTTGCTTTGCACTCAAGGGTAATCCTTGCATAGTTTTCCGGTCGTTATTTTAATGTGCCCACTGGAGCTCCGAGACAAAAAGCAGTCTCACTTTTTTGTAAGGTCTCTATATGCATCTAATTTGAGTTAATTATTTCACTCCTTTTGGAGCAATAGTGTGGATTGTGACCATGCAGCCGTCTGAATTCGTTTGTCTCTTCACTCTCTTAGAAACTAAGAGACTGGAAGCTCCTGTAGGTAAACAAATCTCCTGACCGCTCCATCGTCGGTTGTCCATTCGCACTGTAACAATATCATAACTTCGTTGCACAGTGTCGCGAGTTTCGCCTCCACTCAAGCAATGACATCAGACAACTGTTGAGTCTGCTTGAGTCCCGAAGAAATATTCCGGCCGGTCCCGAACTTAACTTAGCTCGGTGAATTATCAGGCGTCAAGTGAAACAGCGTGCGCCCCGTCAGACCTGGTAGACACAGAACGTTAAAGGTAGATTTCCGGAATGTCCGAAGACTATCCTATTTGTTCCGCGTGACTTGTCATCAGAAACTGCCTCTGAGGAAAACCACCAAGGATCAAACTGGCACGACCATCTTCATCAAAGATGGAAGTCTTGGCCGCTGAGTTGAGCTTTTTAAACAGGCATTGACGTGGCCCAGTCTGATTCTCGGGCTGCACTGTAACTTTAAAAAACCCCACAGCCTCGGAGGTTTATGGTTGCTTATCCTCAAGCGTCACTGAGCTCTTGAATTACTTCAAGGTGACCTCTTACCCTCGTTCAATTATGGGAACATTATCTGTGTGCCTCCATCTAGAAAAAGCGGACCGCTTCAGATACCGGAAGAATCGGTACTAGTGTCCGGTTACAAAAAGTGGTCTGTAGTGAGCGCGGTAGTCCCAGACGGATCAACTTAATCGTCCAGCTGTAACACCTTTTCGGTGCCTAGCCGCCATTCCACTCGAAGGGAACACGGGGCTGGGATATTTCCAGGTTGCCCAAACCGAGATGCAGAAGTCGGTTTCGAACCACGAGCCTTCCAGTCCGTAAATTTGCGCTATAACCACTGAGCCATCTCGCCCCCGAGAGGAATCAAACTAGCTCCAATCGTAACGAGACTTTGTTTCACCTATCTTCCGTCGCCTTGTGTTCTGTGAAGCACTCACACGAGAGCACAAAGCGGAACTTCGAAGTTACAGTAGTTGCGTTGGTCAAACCATTACTGTCCGTCACGTGCTAGTACTCGGGCTTACGAATAAGTAACCCACAGTTTTAGCACTCCTGGACTTCCCAGTTGTGTCCACTCAGAGTGGCGGGCTGTTCTCCTGTGCATGTTTGCTTAGCTAGGAATGCACCTGAAGTTTGTCAATATATTTTCTTCGCACTTTCAGACTCGCTAACGTAAGATAAAGATAATAGTTCAGTTGTATCACCTTTCCGGTGCCTAGTTGCCATGCAACCCGAAGGAAACACGAGGGCTGAGTACTACCAGCTTTCCCAAGCCTAGACAAGGGAAGTCTAGATGCAGAGGCCTGGTTTGAACCACGGACCTTCCGGTCAGTAAATTCACCCCCTAACTACTTCGCCATCTCACTCCGCTAACGTAAGACAGTGTATGGGGCTCCTCCAAAGGATTCGAGCACAGAACGGTGCCCAACGAGGATGCTCACGCTCCCCACTTCCATTGACTCTTGTGGTCGATGCGAGTCAGTTCGGTCCATCAGTTGTAAACCACGTCTTCAAAAACCCTGATGTTTAAAGAGCTGCTGACGAATACCTCGTGGATCTTCGAAGAGGAGAACACATATATGTTTTCGGATAGAAACGAACAAAGTCCTTTCGTATGCGCTTCACACCAACAAAGTGCAAGACCATGCTCCAGGACATGCAGTCATTGGAAAGTCGATTTACAATCCAAAGGAAGTCACTCGGGACTGTTGAAAATTCTACTTATCTTGGAAGTCGTTTGAGTTCCCGGTGTAATGAAGATGAGGTTAATGCACGAATCCCAAAGGCTCAGGTAATTGTTGCTAATTGGGAACACCCTTAGTGGAAAAGTGGCATGTGCATGAATATCAAAAAGCGGTGTATCAGGCTACAGTACGGGATGTTTTGTGTGGCTGTGGAACGTAGCCTTTGCGAGCAGCTTAACTGAGACGTCTTCAGGTCTCCGACGGCTGTTATCTCGTCCATGTATCGTCTAGTCAGATGCCGGCAAGTAAGCAACGATGCAACTGGAGAACGACTGTTTGGTTGTGCCACAGCGACTCAGTCGAAAAATATGTCCAACTGTGGTGTTTTGTTCATGCGCATGCCGAATCATCGTTTGCCGAGAGTAACGCTGTTCTCTGTGCCTACTTCAGTTTCACAAGCAGAGAGATGACCAACTTTGACTTAGCAGA